CCCCTCTTCTTCATGTCTCTTCTACATCAACATGTGTCCCCTCTTCTTCATGTCTCTTCTACATCAACATGTGTCCCCTCTTCTCCATGTCTCTTCTACATCAACATGTGTCCCCTCTTCTTCATGTCTCTTCTACATCAACATGTGTCCCCTCTTCTTCATGTCTCTTCTACATCAACATGTGTCCCCTCTGTGGAAAGAGACTCTGAAAGTTTCAGGAACAAAGATTCTCTCTCTTTTTGATCCATTTCTATAAAAACCTGTCTGAAAATGAGCTGATCAGATTTTGGCCACTTTGTGATGTCATAACGACGTGTTGTCTTGTGTAACCATTAGCCAATCAGCAACCAAGGTATACAAATACATTTGTTGCTTCACCATCTAAATTAGAGGCTTATTGGTTACAGTTCAAATACTGTTCCTTACCTGTAGTTTGTTTTATAGGTTTTTGTTTCCCTCCCACACACTCCATCTACTCTATTTTCAAATGACCTTGACAACACAATGTTCATTTTTGAACAAATATGCGTATTTTGCAGAGACTGTTGCAGAGCAATGATGGTGAAGCTTTTTTTAGATGATTAAAAAACACCTTCCAGGCGACATGAACTGCACCATCTGTCACATTTCTCTGAGGCGCAGCAGGGCCTGACTCAGAGTTAGGGTGATTATAATCTACATTTTGCCGTGATGCGCATTAGGCAAGTCATGTCCTATTCCAGTATGTCTTGGAGACTGACGCAGACAACAAGCACTAACTCGCTGGGAATCAAAACAGCTCTCTGTCCATCCTTTTTCTCTCACTCACCGTTTGTTTTTGAGGAGCGAGTACCTTAGCATTTAAAGTCAACGCAACCGTGATTCATGTGTAACCGGCCGAGCCACACGATCACATCCCTGCATGTCCAAATGATTCATATTCAGAACAGATGTGGTAGTTAAATGTTGTTTAATGCTGGGTGGAGGTGTAAAAAAAAAAAAAAAAAATACATATTGACCTTGGACTATTGTTTATCTAGTGTCTGATAATTACATGGAGAATTTCTTAAATATTCTTTTTTCTCCATGCCTAATGCACCAGACCTCGCAGGATTGGATTAATATTTGTGGTTATTTTTAGGCCACCTGTCAATCACAATCTGTCAGGCCAACTGGCGCCTCCATCAGCTGTAGTCCATGAAATTAAACGGCAATGAACTGCAGATTTTACACAGAATCTGTAAACTTTGAAACTCCTCTGTATAATTGGAAATGGAATTGAACTAGTGCTTTCTATTTGTGTATTTTATTTGCTCTTATTATTGTTTTTATAATTCTTGCTTCCAGTTTAAACTGCGTGGAGAGAAACCTGCCATTGTACATGAGTATAATGACACTAAAGTTCCTCTGATCCACAGTTGCTCTTCGCTGTAATTGTTAAACATTAGTTAATTTAGTTCGTAACGATTTAATTTTAAAGGTAAAAAGCAAATACTCTTTTATTCGGAAAACCATCCATAGTGACATAAAATGACAAGGAGTGTTGTAGTTGTTTAAATAATATCTTTACCAGTGCCTTTCTGCAGTTTTAAATATAGCAATCTGTTTTTCTACTGTAGTGCACAAGGGTAATTCCCCTCAGAACAACATTTGGCATTATATGAAGTATGGGATAGATTTGACATATTTGTTTTGTATTGATTTTCAATTTCTACTCAAATAAGACCCACATAAATACTTTGCGACGCACATTTGTTAAATAATAATGAAGACACACATCATTTGTAAGCAGAGTCTTATTTTAGTAGAAGACATTGAAATCAACACTTAATACATAACATGTTTTTCAAGTATCATCCATCCCATACTTTGTATAATGCCAGATGTTGTTCTGAGGGGAACCTACTTTACGTTAAGTGGAAAACAGTTTTTGATATCTAAAACTGCAGAAAGGCACTTGTAAACACTTCATTTCAACCAGACGTGAAACCAGTATTTATGGGAATGATAACACATATCATCTTGAGTCTTATTTGAGTAAAAGATAATGATAACTGATCTGATCCTGTTTCTCTTCCAGACTGTCTTGGTTCCCGGTCCAGACCTGAAGCCCGGAGAGGAGTTCGATGCTCTCAACCATCAAGTTCCTAAACCAGAGGCGGTCCAGTGGAGCAAATAGTCCACAGGGTGGCGCTGCTCTTTACTTCAAACCTCAGTTGGACATTATAAGCAGCCATGCGCCAAATGCTGTTAACATTCTGTGTGTGGCTGGTTAGTTTGTCCACTCTGGCAGGAAGGCTGGCTTCCTTTGAAGGCTCTTATCTGTTTGACAAATGCTGCTGGCTGTGAATGGGCAGCAGGTGAGTTTAGGGATGAACAAACTACTGAGTCCTGCAGCCAATAGAATTGCTTCCTGCGCTGCAACTCGCCACACAACCGTCTGGAATACTAATACCAATAACAGCTGTTTTCTCCAATTGGTTTCACACTTTTTCATTTTGTTTTAAGACCAACTTAATGTGTTCATGTCAAAAATAAAATTCACAGACCTCAGGAAATTGAGTGGTTTATTTTTGTGATGAATACACTGCATGACCTCAGGGAAATACAAAAATAAAGTGTACCATCTGCGTGTCTTCACACCAGTAGATTTGAACGGATATGTCTATCAGAATAATCTTTCACAGAAGATATTGCATACAAAAGTGAAAACAAAGTGGACCTCTATGCAAATCAAGGAATGTGTTACAACAATACAGTTATTTTAAAAAAGTGACCACAAATTACATCTAAAAACACACAAACAGTTCTCACAAAACTAGGTCACTCTATTGACATAAAATTGGCAGGGATGTGTAAATAATGAGATCGCTGAATGTAAAAAAAAAAAAAATTGCATCTGCATGACACTGGAACAGATGTGCTGAAAAACACCTGCGTTTTACCAAGTGATGGAAAAGACATTTGATTTGTTACACCTACACAGAAGCCTGTATACATTGTTAGATTTATTTACCATGAAACCTCTTCAAACACAATACAGCTATTTCAAAGTTGCAATTGCCTCATGATTGAATGATTCCTAAAAAATACAACAGACATTAAAATGTGTGGCCATGGCTTATCCCGAAATGTATATAATTTAGATTAATTTGTCTCATTAAGTTTTACCAGCTATCTGCATACGAATGGAGTCAAACATACTTTTATTTCATATAAAAAAATATTAATGAATATTAGAGTGGTGGCAAACATGTGATAATGTATATAATATATTGACCAATCCCATTATCTGCATAGAAGACCTGTGTTGTTGACCAAAACATTACCTAGCCATTACTCAGCTAACAGGGGGAAGTCATGTATCTCCTTGAAACCAAGGATTAACCTCTAAAACTGACATTATTCGCAATCTGATTTATAAATTGGAAACGGGTCAGTTTGCCTGCAACAAAAGTGTACTGATGTTTTTTTGCAATCGCCGGACATCTAAAAAGCATGTATTTAATCACACTGTTCATTTAATGTTACTCTCATTTTCTCGCAGTACAAAACAATTAGGCAGTTTTAGCTCCACTGTGAGGGGTTACGTTTTTTAGCATATCTTGAGTTTATGGTGATTTTATGCATTGTTTTTGGCTTTGTCTGTTTAAGTCTTTACATCCTATTCTTTTGACTTCATCAAAAGTGAAGGAGAAACATTAAATATTGGCGTTTAGTCCTTAAATGGTCACTTAAGCAAACAAGTATGCATAGTTTTCAAAAATGTTCAATACTTCATAGACATGTAATGTACCATTTACACTTAACACATCTATTTTGAAAATATAATTTCCACAAAAGAACAAAATTAGACTAAATCAAACGGCTAATTATTCGTAATCTCAATAGATTCATTCGTCTTGCCCTGTATTTTTGAATGCCAGCACTAGAGACTTGTTTAATTCAGGTTTTTAACTAAACTAACTTTCACGTTACATTTAAAGTGGGGAATCAGAAGCAGGAACAAAAGGGACTCTATCTTAATGTCTTAGATGCCCTTCGATGAACCAGTGTCAGTCTGTAGTTCATTACTGGTTTAAAGAGGGACATTATGCAATGTGTACTTCAGCAAAAAAAAAAAAAGTATTGTCAGTCATGTCTGCACAACTAATTAGTCTCCAGCTTATGAAGGCGTTGTTAGCGAAAGCGCGAATGGACCTCAAATGGTATTTCCTGACCTGTAACTAACGCAGCCTTAAATTCTGTCGTTGATAAGCCTGCAGTACGCCTTATCCAACAGAAAGGGATTTCAGCTCTGCCGTCCTGCAGCGGGAGCTGATCGTGAGCTGACGCGCCCTTGTGTTCTCAAAAACAAGAGTTCCCCTTGGTGGTACCCTGAAAAAGTCGTTGAGGATCCAGCGAGGTCTCAGCAGGATCAGATGGGAACACTAGGCCTGTCAGCGAGCAATGCTGCATCGTCGTTCTTCGATCTTCCTCAGGGATGATTTTCAGCTCCCAGCGTAAGACGGTCTGAGGGTAGTTTGTCTGTGAAGGGAACCCGATCTGGCGTCATATCGCATCTGCCAGGAAGCAGGAGCATCTGTCGCCGCCCAGTTTGCTCTTTGGTCGCCCCGTCCAGACCTGTCACGCTGACATCTGGTGGATGTCTGCTCTAGCCCTGAGCTGTCTCTGCTCGCTGCTGATTTCATCGTGTTGGGTCACTTTTGAGTATAGCGACTTTTGTTTTCGGCAGGAGGTCTGTTATCCTTAGATTCCAAGGCGCAAACGATCTCCTGCGCAGCTGCCTGCCTTCCTTTTGTGACAACTTCTGTGTCCTCAGTATCCCCACGGACAAACATCTGGCCCTGTTGTACGCTGTATCGGTTGCTTCGTAGAACCTTTTGCTCTTGCTGTGTCCCGCATGATCAAACAGCTGTGCCGTTGGACGCGGCGGTAGTCTGGCTGGTCCTGTAGTACCTGTGTTGGCTCTGTCTGGTGTCCCACGACAAACACGTCTGCCTTTAGGCCGCCGCGGGGGGGCTTCTATTCTTGGTTCGTGTAACTGAGTTTGGCTCTTCTGTGGCTCCGTGACGAGGTGTGTTGAAAGAAGTGTGCATGCTTGTTTGACATGGTTGGGTATCATTCCCGGACTGTGATGTGAGACGAAGAGTCGTCTGTGTGTCTGTGAGTCCAGACAGAAAATCTGCGCGTGTTGGGCAGGTATCTTTTGGCTTGCTGTGGTAGAACCTTTCGGGGGATGCTGTCTCATGGTGTTCCCACGGACAGAAGCATGGCGGTGAACTTTGGATGCCTAGCTCGTTGTAGTCTAGTAAGAGACGTCTTGAGTCGCGTTCGTGGTCCCAGACGGACAAACATCGTGAGCAGCGTGTGTCTAGGTCTTGACATAGTCTGTAGGGTAATCGTTGTTGGGCTCTTCTGTTGTCGCTCGCCACGGACATAATCGAGTCGCCTTTCGTGTGGGTGCATTGCATGAAGTGGTCCTTAAGAATAAGCTCCTTTGGGGTCTGTCTTCTGTGTCTCAACGAACAAACATCTGGCCTGTTGAGGCTATCTTGCTTCTGTAGGTACCTCTTGGCTTCTTCTGTGTCCCACGGACAAACAATCTGGCCTTTATGCTATCGTTGCGTTCTGTAGTGTACCGTCTTGGGCTCCTTCTTGTGTCCCGGGACGGACAACATCGTGCCTTTACGGCTATCTTGCTCTATTGAGTACCTTTGCTCCCCTGTGTCCCACGGACAAGACGGCCTTTACGCTATCCTTGCTGTTTTGAGAACCTGTCTCGCGCTCTCGTGTCCCACGGACGCAACATCGCCTGTGTACAGCAGATATCTTGCTTATTGAGTACCTTTGGCGTCGCCTGGTCCCTGGACAAAACAGCTACCGTAACTCGTATCTGCTTTTTGAGAACCTTTGGCGTTCCTGGCCCATGGGACAAGCATCTACCTTTAATCGTAGTCTTGGCTGTTTGAAACCTTTGCTCTCG